CAACTGCCAACATCAATTATTATTTAGATGTAAAACACATCATTGGGCCATTTGTTCAAGTAGTCTATAAATATATCCACAACACCATAACTAACAATATCCGATTTACTTTTTGACAATTAATTTTGGAAAATTTGTAAAAGATTCTAACTAAGTAAACAAAAAGAAAGTTTCTTGTACTTTCTCAGTGATTACAAGTGAAGATGCTCTTCATCGTATTCTTCTAATACCTCTTCATAATGATTCACACAATTTTTGATGAATGTGATCACAGAAGGAAATAAAATAGTGTATTATAGCAACATGTTAATAAGAGAACAAAATGGAATAAAAGCAAGCACGAAACAAGGAATTTATCCACCGAAAACAATGGAATATAGTTGTGCAATATTGTGAATCAATTAAAGCTAGACTTGTACACTATTGAATCTCAACTCAGTAGTCTAAAGATTAGGCGTTCGGATGCGAGATCTATTATCATCAGTTTAGTTTCGGTTGAGCACTGATAGAGAGTTCTAATACTATGACGAAATCGCCATTCAGTGCTGATAGGTTTTCAATGGTTGTCTGGCATAAACGAATGTCAAAACAATTACTTCTATGCATAGGTATTTTCTTCTGTCAATAAAACATGAATATATATATATATATATATATATATCCTTAAATCAAACACAAAATAAAGTAGATTAATGCATATATATAACAAAAGAATAGTTAATGGTTAGATATGTCTACGTGCATATATGCACTGACGTGCACATATGAAGTACATGTTTCAGGGAAATACCAAACTATGCAGACATAAACATAGACGTAAGGATATTATTACAGATCTAGAAATGTAAAACAGGCTTAAAAAAAGTATTACATGGTAGAAACTATAAACGAATCAAGAAAAAAAACACATTAGAGTAATTATGAATAGATGGTACATAAATGTATAGGTTAGTTCATTCATTTGTGTAATCTCTAATTTTGATTAACCTTAGACTAAATATGATCAATTTGAATGATAGTAATGATACTGATTATGATTAACATCAGTTTTAAATGCAACTTATTTCATACATTTAAAGGAAAAAACAAAGATTCAATTGTCTGACATTCATTTGGAATAATACTGTTTTTTTTTTCTTCTGAAGATTAAAGGATAAACAACTGAATAAAATAACCACATATAGGAAAGATATACTGTAGGTTGAATACAATATACAACAATTAGACAAATCAAAAGCAAATTAGATTAAGAATGTTACAACTCAAGACCGAAAGTCCTGAGTTCGAATCCTACATGTGGAATCGTGAATGCGCATTGTTGATGAATCCTGTATTAGGAACACACGGCCTTTCAGTGCTTCCAGGTTTTCAATGGTGGTTTAACATCGATCGAGTCATGATTTCAATCAAATACTTAATAATCTTCACAACCCCATACTGATAATTTTATATTTGTAAAAAAGCATACAAACTCACTGAGCAGTGTGTGTCAAATGTCATATGTACCTAGTTCTATCTAGTACTGACAGAATTTTGAAGATAAAGCTTCAATGTCACTATTAGTGTTTAAGTGACTTGATATAGCTTGAATAGTGTTGAGATATCAAGTAGTTGAAAGCAGTGGTGTTAGTTGGTAATCATTAACAAACAGTACCTGCAAATCTAAAGGAACAAATTATTCTCATGGGATTCGAATTCCTGTTATCATATAGCGTCGACTGTATTTCAGTTTGACGGAAGATTAATAACGTCTCGAGTGGTTCAACGATAAAGACTCAGGCTATGAGGCTGGATAGTGTGAGTTCAGAGCAAACAGACAGACATCATCAATACAAGCTGCCCTACTACAATAACAAAATGTATAACGACCGAGATCGGAATAATTTAGTAGCGATGACAAAGAGAAAGACCAAGCATTGAGAATACGTGAGGATGGTATGTTGAAACAATACAGGAATTCAAGATCAAATGGAAAATCAAGAATTCATATGTGACTTGTTACTCAAAATCTCCAATCACTGATCAAATCTTCGAAATAAACACAATACGCATTACCAATCTATCTAGCCGTAATAACACAAACAAACAAACATATATACATACATACATAAATACAAGGTTGTTGTAATCAAGACGCTCTACAAATTCGATTGATTCCGCTAATCAAAATCATTGTTGGCAAAATAACACAGTTTAATAATTAATTAATAAACATGTACTACTGGATGTCAAAAAATCAATAATATTGACATCAATTTCATAGATTTGTGCTATTAATGATGATGAGTGTAGAAAGACTAAGTGAATAAGTTCTGAAAGGCAATGAAATGTAAGTCTGATATATTTCACTGATCTCCATCATAAACCATAATCAAACAATCCTAATTGTAATATTACTAAGATAAAACATGAAGAAGACATGCACAACTGTAACAACCCTATTCAAGTACAAACCAATACTATAATATGCATTGGAAAAGATATGCTTCTATGCCAAAATTTCAGCTTTCAACTGCTTAATAATAATAATAATAATGCTGATTTATAAAATACTGATTTCTGAGCTCTGACTTTGAATTACACTATTTGTATGAGGCGTTTAAGTTAACCTACCCCCAAATGCCCTGATACGGCCGAGAGTGGGAAGAGTCTGCTCTCCCTCTCCAAATGCTCTCACATGGCCATGAGCATATAGCCTTTGCCAGGAAAGTCCTACTCATTGCCTTCTCGTGCCCTGGGGTGTGGTTTACGAAATCGAGAGGACGAAAAGCGAATGTCCGGCACTTTAACCGAGTTGGTGGACACGGAAAGTTCACCAAGGGCAGTTGGAAAACCCCCATTCCAAACCAATGGTGCACATCTTAAGGGAACAAATGGCGTACGAATCAATCGTTGGTCACCGGCTATCATGGGACTGCATCTCCTCACGATGCTCCACTGCCTTGTGGATCAGATCTTCAGCTAAAAAGTTACAGGTGTGGCCCCTTAAAAAAAACCACTTGGTTCGGTCTGGGCACCTGGGAAGTATCATAGCCCTCAAGCAAATCAAATGAGATTTGTATGGCGCATATTTATTTGGTGCTTCCTTGTACCAATATTTGTGTTTAAATGAAATAAAATAAATTATGTTACCCTACTAACTGAATGTATAAACCAAAATACTGATTATAACAATAATCAATAGTTCAACTTAATTAACAAAAAATAAAACAAAAAGGTTCATACAGCTCTATAGTAGATTAATTGTGTTTTTTTTATTGAAAAGAAGATGCGCTTTTCAAATAGAGTTTGATAAATGAATAAAATGAACTCATATCTATATATATTTGACCTTAAGAGAAACTCATTTTTATTGTTCCTTAGTCTATTATGTCGGTTAGTAACATTCTAACATAATGCCTATGGGTGTAAAACAGTAAATTGATTTAAAATTTTATCATGCCAAAGTGTATAGGAAGTTACATCCCCTTACCTATTACACTTCGGTAAAGAAATAAATATGAAAAGATCGCACAAGATGTTTCACAAAAATATACAAAAAGATACTGGAGTAGTTCTAGTTTTGTTATCCCCCATTTATGAGGTATGGATTTGTGTCTACTGAGCCACGGGCTATACTTTAAATGTGAGGTCCTATAATGCTATGCAGTTTGCCGTAATTGAAGTAGGCGAATATGGATTCGAGACTATGGATTAGTATTTGAAAATCGAACGCCTTACTACTGTTCTAATAATGTAAAATCTTATAGAACCGTTAACTTTTGAATTTATTAATGGTGTCTTCCATAAAAAATTACAGACATATGTAAACTAGAAAAATATATATTCATGGTATTCAGTGAGTAACGTTACTATTATTTTCCCGTTTATATCAAATGTCAAGCGAATACGGTCAAATATATATAGTGTGCATACTCTTTTTTATTTTTAACGATAAGAAGATAATTGGAGACTAGTACACAGTTGTTTTAAGTTGAAGGCTAAAACGTAAGAGGATAATCTCCTAGCACAGTAGTTGATAAAAACGTGAGGAAGTAATTTGCTTTCATTACAGTATAAGATTAGATAAGAAATCAATAAGAATTAAGGAACACCTTTATACTTGTTTTGTTGTAGTCTATAGACTTCATAAAGATACACACCCCAATTCTACAGAGAAAAGACTGTCATATAAGTACTGAACTAAAATCTAAGGATCCACACTTACAAATACAGTCAATCTGTCATAAAAGTAAGTTTAATCCCATGTACAGTTATGAATGCATAGTGCTGAATAGAGTATTTGGAGTAATAACTTAACGATGAATGAACTCAGACTTCAGTTGGTACGTCCAAGATTCGTATCGCGCTGTACTTACTACGATTTAAGTCTAGCTTAAAACCGAGTACGTAAATTTAAAGTATCAAACTGGGACAAAATGAGTATCGACAGCTTTTCGATTTTAGATCACTCTCTGTTAAGTTAATATGAATTTGTTACGTGAATCACTTTCAATATAGACACAAGCTTTATTTATTTATTTAAACACATAAATATTAGTACAAGGAAGCACCAGATATATATGCACCACACAAATCTCATTTGATTTGTGTGAGGTTTGCGATACTGCCCAGGTGCCCAAACTGAAACAGGTGGTTTTCTTAGGGGCCACACTTGGAGCTTTTGACCTGAAGATCTGATCTACAAGGCAATGGAGCATCGTGAGGAGATACAGTCCCATGATAGCCGGTGACCAACGATCGATTCATACAACATTTGTTCCCTCAGGAAACTGGAGCCAGCCAATGTGCACAATTGGTTTGGTATTAGGGTCTTCCAACTCTCCCAGGTGGACTCGCCGTGTCCACCAACCCCGTTAAAGCGCCAGGCATTCGCTTTTCGTCATCTCAGTTATGTAAACAACACCCGTGATGCGAGAAGGCAGTGAGTAGGACTTCCCTGACAGAGGCTATATGCGCATGGCCATGTGAGAGCATTTGGAGAGGGAGAGCAGACTCTCCCCACTCTCGGCCGTACCAGGGTAAAAACGAAAATACTCAACAGATTTCAATGTCAAAAACATTTAATCCAAAAGGAGAAACCGAACCATAAACAGTAATCATAACGACGTAGAACTGATGCAATATGATTAGTTTTATTTATAACATGAATGTAAATGGTAAATCGTTTAATGTTAAATAAGCATACAAACAAAATGTTACTAATTAGTTTAGTGAAAATCATGAATATTGTTGTTAGTGAAAATGATAAACGGTTGTGGAGTTTACTGGCTTTCATTGAAACCATGAACCGATCACCTGTAATGTTGAAGAATCTCATACTAGAACGAAATGGCCATCCAGTGTTTCCAGGTTTTAAACACTGGTCTAACATAGATTGGCTCACAATTTTAAAGGAAATCTAGTAAAAATTGACCTTACTGACCACAACAGGTCACAAAGTTCAAAACTTTCTGCATAATTTTTATCAAATTTATGTAGTAGTTTATTATCATTGTATTGAGTTACCAAGATATATGTGTATCCACCTGAAAGTGATCAATTTTTTTAATCACTATGATGCAATACACATAATCATTAAAACAATCTTCAACACATCAATATGCTTTCAACATATATCTAGAAACTGAATGACATTATATAGCATTCAAGGTTTTTTTTGTAACTAGTACTGAAAAATAAAAGTTGGGATAGAAATATTAAAAAAAAACCCAGTTGACCTAAGAAAACATACTTCTAATCTATTAATATATCTCTCTATGTAGAACAATCGAATGGATATATATTGTTACTAAGGCATACCAACAACAAACAACATAGAGAATACATGCACCTTACATGGCTGCCACCCTGTAGGATTATGTATGTATGTATGTGTATGTGTATATATCGAATATATAATCCATTAACACACACAATATGTTATCACTTTTTCGCTGTAATTAATCTTATCATAATATTATAAATTCTGATTAATTTCTTCTATATCTTTCTTCCCGCATAATCCATTCCCCCCCCCTCTCTCTCTCTGAACCCCATTGATGTCAATAAAAACTAACTATTCATATTAGATTTATATAGAAAATACATGGAAATAAGTAATTTTCGTTAAACCTTTATTTTAGAGGAGGGGTAGGTTGGAGGTTATTATTCAAAGCTAGATTAATAGATGGATAAGAGTGTTTTATGATTATGGGTAAATAAATAAATAGAAATAAGATTTAGCAATATAATATTCAGAATAGAAAACAACCAAGGTAATTAAAGTAAATGAGGTACATTGCTGTGAAATTAACATCTATAATACAAAAGAGCGAAACAAGATTGCATGTATGGACAGATGGTAGAAATCGGTAAACTTTTTTTGATAAGAAATGGGAGATATCAACTCACTGATGACATTGGTGAATGGTTGCTCGATTTCATGCATCGGTTGAAGTTAGACATTAACACCGTTGGATACCGGCCAGCTGAGTGGTTTATCGGTTAAGTGCTCTGGCGTGAGACTGGTAGGTCGTGGGTTCGAATCTTGTGAGTGCGGGATCGTGGATGCGCACTGCTGAGGAATCCCATAATAGAATGAAACTGCCGTCATGCAGTGCTTCTAGGTTTTCGATGGTGGTCTAACTTCAATGGACTTATGATCTCAACTCTTTAAAAGTACTGAAATCTCCACCAAACCCCTTCTGAATACGAATTAGTTAGTCAGTCAATTGTAATCAACGTGTGACCAGACACAAATATACATTTGGGCTAAGTTCCTTACATTATAACCACAGTATAACAAAATAAAGTGAACAAAATGGATACGAACAATGTCAAAGTAATAGTCTATGTCTATGAAAATAGTGAATAAGAAGACTGAATTTATGATACATACGGTACGTTACTAGCAGTATAGCTTCATGAAGCGCGTTTTTTCCTATTTGAGACTCGTCAACTGGAAGTATGCACCAAAAGAGACTGATCAGTTGCAGTCTGCAACATCAACAGGAAGATTCAAATAACTAATAAAGATGAATTAAAATTTCTAATTCATGAATCAAGGAGCAAACTAAATCAATAAAACCATGGAGTAACCATGTAACATGCTAGTGATAGTCATATAGAAATATTAAGACAAGTATACCTTTTCAACTGACGTGTCATAAAACATAATAAATCACAGGCATTTACTTTCCTTTAAATTTTGACTTTAATGTTTATCAAGTTAAATTCTTTTTGCTATACTAGTATGAAATATGATAGCATAGACAGAAACACAACCTTACTATATATCATACATTGTTTGTTTATTTCTAACCTGGATGAAACTAAATATTCTTTATATAGGTAATGGTAGAAAGTAGAATAAAATGAAACACATGGAGGTTAATCAACTACTGAAGTAAAGTATGGATCAAATATCATAGTGAAAAAGATCTTTTCAGTCGATTAGATGATAAAATGATCAGTAATATAATATATGTAAAATACACACTAGTTGAATTGATATATAAAAGATTTACTTTTTGTGATAGATTTGTTCAATACCAGTGAACATGACCACTTAATCGACATATCATACACGCTCTACATCACCATATTTATTTACTAAGAAACAATAGTCAATAGCATGCTAATGTCTCATGTATAGATAGAAACTAAATGACAATTTTATAAGTATATAATAAATTACCAATAATAAAAAAGAGAAGAAATAAAGAGGAAAGACATTTGACCTCAAGAAACTCTCTTAATCTATCATCATACAAAATATCTTAAGCAGAGACGGATAGTGGTTAGCAATGGAATCCAAGATGTGCATATCTGCCCATTTGGGGCTAGCCAGTTGGATGCTCCTGTATCTCTGAGTCGATATTCACTTCGGGACACGAACCTATCCCTGTTCGTTTCAAACGCCATCGTGTTACCCACTTAGCTAGTGAGTCCAGAGAGCCACTGGCTCGTGCAATGGGGGTGAAGTTTAATTCATTTGTAATAGTTATTTGAATTTCCTTACTGATGTTCAAGGACTGAATTTGATCAGTATGGAAAATTGATGAAGACCTATATCACCAGGCTTAACTATGTAGGTATACCTATGCATTAAAAGATGCAGGTTGAATAAATCGTCTCATTTGAATAAGGATTCTGCACTTTAATTAGTATTTGACAGGTATAATAGTAGTAGAGGCTACATAATCATTTTTCTAAACCTAGGGTTAGCTGTCAAATATGGTATTTAAAAATAGAGGATATTCATAGATTACTAGTATACGATCACAGGTGGCTTCAATTCAGTGCTCGTATATGTTACTATCATCAGGTTAGCAATGTTGAGGTCAGACGCAGGGTATTAATTAAGAATGACAAATCAATTGATGTGATGAATTGTTAGCAATTGAGATGGTTGGAACATATTTTATCTATACCCGTCCATCAATTACCTCGACGTGCGATGATGTCTGGATAATCCAAACCGAGACATGGAATCAGTTCATGAAGAAACCAACTATTATAATGAGCCATGTTGATAAGTTCTGACTACTTGGTTAGGGTCAATGTGATTACTGCAATCAACAGTTAGAGACTTGACATAACCCAGAATCGTTCGTAATGATCCAGGTGCATTCACCAATCAGTTTAATTTAGATCCTTATTCCCGAAATTGTATACATTTTTCGTATTTTTATACTTAATCTTTTCAACTACTATTAATGCTGATACTTCTTCTACAATAGGACTACTCTTGATAATTTAATCTCGCTCTAGTGATGTGATGTAGCAACTCAAGCCAACGTGTATGTGCTAGGTTCTATGTTTCATAGGGCTGACTAATAGATAATAAAAGATAAAACAAATTTCGACTGCTGAAAAAGGTATGAGGGAGGTTGTCACTTTCCGGTTGCTTTCACTATGGAAGGATACTTTTATTTGAAGTGCCTCATTATGAAACTGGATTAGTAGATGTCTCAGAGATCTAGGAGCATGATCACAGGACCTGAAAGGCAGCTGATTGAGGCCGATCAGGTATGTCTGTTTTTTTGTTGAAGATTTTGATGGTTTAGCTCCGTGGTTTGAAAGCTTTATCACCAACGATGAAAACCCATGTAGGAAGGTGAGATCTGCTACTTTGAAAGCAATCTCTTTCTAACACCTATACTCTCACTGTAGTAAGGCATCATTTCTACAGATGCTGATTGTCTAAGGAAAACACTTCTTTAAAACAACCCTGAGTACAGAAGTCGGACCTTAATTTGCTAATTTTATACTTAATATTTCCGGAACGATCCGCACAATATGATAGACCCAAAACAAAAAAGTGTTTCAGCCTATAAAGCTCAACTGGTTTATCAAGATGAACGGGTTGAACCACCAAACACAATAAGGTAGCAGTTACAAGTGAAAGGAAATAAACCAGACATAAGAAATAGCTAATAAATGTGTCAAAATTCATTGTATTTCAATACTATATAAATATGTATATATCAAGTAAAAAATGACTCATAATAAAATGTTAATCATATCACTTTAATTCTTTTCCTTTCCTTCTTCCTCTCTTTTCTACAAATCACCTCCTAATTCCTTCTCTCATCTTTTTTCCCTCAACTCTTTTTCTTATACCACCAACAGGAAAAGAAAAAAAAGAATAAGGGTTAAATGTAAAATAGAATCCTGGTGATAACTGTAAAATAAAGAAAACAGGCTAAAAACTTTGATGAATAGGCACAGTGTGTGTGAATACACAAACAAAAGTAAAAACACTAGACGAGAACATCCAAGTATACAGAATATAGGAAGAAATTTGATAATATTGTTTATCATCATTTCATGTCTTCTTTCAACATTCCGAAGATCGACATGAAAGGGCTAAGAAATAAAAGTATGAATGACTGAATGAATGTGTATAAGGGAACAAATCTTTGGTGAATATCACCACTAAATACTACAACAATTACTACTACCACTAATAAAGAGATTACAAGTAGTTTGGTAGGCCACGTGCTACGTATGTCTGCACATCGATTACCACGACGCCCAATGCTGACTAGTATTAGGGATGGCTGGAAGAGAGTTAGGGGCGATCAAACCAAAACATGGCATCAGTGCTTGAAGTCACTAACTTCTATTCTAAACCATGTTGGTAGATGAAGACTACTTGGTTGTAGTCCGCGTGACTATCGTGACCAATAGTTGGAGACTCTAGGTGACATGGCTCAGAATCGATCACAATGGCGTAGGTGTATACACTTTCTGTCTTCCCTTAAACCTTGAGATTAAAATCGCTTCATAACTTTACTCCTTCCTATACTGCTCAGGTGCCCAAACCGAAGCAGGTGGTTTTCTTAGGGGGCCACACCCAGAGCCTCTGACCTAAAAATCTGATCCACAGGGAAGTGGAGCATCGTGAAGATATACAGTCCCATGATAGCT